TTTTTTCAAAACAGTGACAATTTGTTTTCCAATGTTTTCAATGTTTAAATTTCATAAAATATAAAGCTTTATATTCAAATAAAATTAAAATCTTATTTACCATTAAATAAGTCGTTATAAAAGAATTGTATATTGATCTCGAATATTAAAATACTGTAGTTGGAAAGATTGCATGAAAGAAATTTTAAAATTTATCAATATCGGGTTTGCAGGCTATATATGCTGTGATAAAACAAATTCGTTATCAAATACTATTTGTTTAAAACATAAATATTTAAATTTACATTATGTCAATGTCACAAATTTACACATTTGACGTAAAATATTAATATTGAAATTAAAATATTATTTTCACTATTCAGAAACTACAGAATAGTATATTTAATTAAATGCTTTAAATTTGGAGCTGAAGAAAAATCTGAGTACATATACTACTACTGATACATACTGAGTACATATACTACTATTGATGATATTACTACTGATACATATACATTATTTTAAAAACATTAGGATACATTATTATGATTACTACAAGTATTGAAAATGGTATTTTGTTATAAAATATTAATTTATGTATAATTCAGATATTTTGAATGTTTTATTCTTCTTAAAACGTCAATAATTGAAAGTTATTATTCTTTTTACAAAAGCCTTATTAAATATTTAAAAAAAATTTGCATATGTAGGAAATTTTAAGTGTTTTTATTAGAATCCACTAGGGGAAAATAAGTAGTGCAAGTTAGTTGTGAATTATACAAAATTTCTGATAGCAGTAATCACGAAGGATAATTAATTTTATCTCTTCATACAGCATTTTTTTTAAAAAGCTATTAATAATCAAGTTGATTATTAAATAACAATTTAACCTAAAGTTTTTAAAAATTTTTTAATAATTTCATCTGCTATCTTGTGTTATTGTAACACTTTGTTAATAACATTTAACTGAACAGAAAACATGCAAAACAAAGTTTCTTCTTACATATTTTCCCATCATAAATTTTCTTCATCATTTTTCATATGCTTTTCTTACTTCAAATACAATTTTTTAAATAAAGTTTCTTAATCAAAGATTTGCGATATTAGATCCCTATTTTGGCTTTGCAGTTTGACAAAGATGCAATTGTGCCATTTTTTTGTGGTGAACCCAATATGTTTATTTGAGTAAGGAGCATCCGCTTCACATTTTAAGATGCAAATTATATTTCCAATTCAACTATACTTGAATGCTGTGGTGCAATTCTTTTAAATATACTTTTAAAAGTATATTTAAAACACTTTAAACTTCAATGTTAGCACTGAAGTTTTTAATAAGATTTTATTGTATTGTAGGGTTTAATATGCATGCAATAAAAATAGCATATCTCCAATGCATCAAATAAATTTCGATCCCTTAATATGCAGTTGTGTAATATGTTTGGTAAACTTTATCATTTATGTCAATAAACTTACGTCGAACATGCACGACGATTATTGTGAATTGATTTTAAGGCCTTAATCTGTAAAATAAGTTCAGTACGTTTTATTAGTATACAATATAAGGAGAAACTGAACATATTTCAATTATTTTAGCTAAAATTTTGTCTGTTTGTGGAACTGTTATTGGGTAACAAGTTTAGTAGACTTTATTATTTCCTCAAAATAAATAAAATGCATGTTTATAATTTTAATCCAATAATAGAATTTGAAAAATATATTTTGTAGATTTTAACGCGTACACAAGAGAAGAAAATAATTAAGCAATATTTCGTATATTATAGCTATACTTCCTTTCTTTGCTTGTAATATTTTTAATGCACTTTATTACGTACTAATTACGTAAGACATTATTTTTTATTGCGCAATATTACGTTAATTTTTAAACATTAATTTATAATTTGTTAACAACATTATTTTTTAGATATATAAGCTATAAAACAAGAAAACGAATATATTTCTGTTCACTCAGATAACTTTTTTTTTCAAGTAAATTCTGTCTTTTGGAAATTGTTTAGTAAAATGTTTATTTTTTGAAATAACAATGCTAAAAAAATATTAAATAAGTAATAAGAGTATCTATAAGAGTATCTATTAAGAGTATATCAATTTTGTCTAAATTTTGAAGGAAAAAAAACTTTTTAAAAATTTGTTTTTAACTTTCTATATTTCAGGAATCAAACTTTTTTTCTCACAACTTGAAACTTAAAAAAATTTCTCATACTTCAAATTAACATTCTTCATCTTTTATACTGATATGATACAAATTTTTTCTTGAAATATATTCATTATGAATTTATAATTGATTTTATTCAGATATTTATTTCATTTTCACTTATTGAAAGTTAATTCGAGACATTCTTTTGAAAAATTGCACGCCAGATAAGCTTATATTTATTAAGGTTTTAAACGTTTCTCTCTTCATGTACTAATTTATCTTTTTATTTTATTTTTTTTACTTGATTATTTTTCATATATTTCCTTACATATTATAGATATTTTTCAGATATAGGCTTATTAAAATTAAGGTTTTGAGAGTTTGCCTTTATTTATACATTGCATTTATACTTTTCCCGTTTATTTTTCTTATATTTTCTTTAGAATATGGGGTATTTGTTCGTTTGAATTTTTTTCATATATTTCTACGCATTTCGCACGTCTTTTGTATGCTACTTCATAGCTTTGTTGATAATTTTTTTCCCTTTTTACATACATTTTGTGTACGTTTTTCTTGTGTTTCTTCATAGTTTTTATGCAGTTTAATTTTTGTATTTGTTTCTTCTTTTCATACATTTTTCACGTTTTTCTGGAACTACTTCAGTTCTTTGATGTTTATTAACTTATTTTTATTTTATTTATATATATGGATTCTGATTGATTATTTTTTGGTTATTTTTTCGTTCTATGTACTTTTTGAATATGTTTTTGTGTCTCTTCCTGGTTTTTACTTAGTTTCTTTTTAGTAGTTTCTTATTTGCGTACATTTCTCACGTTTTTTCATGAACTACTTTATGCCTTTCATGTTTATTTATTCCTTTTAATGTATCTAAGAATACTAGTTATATTTTTTATGGGTTGTTTTTTGGTTTTGACTAGTTTCTTTTCTTATATTTTCAGGCATTTCTAATGTTCATGTGTTGCTTTGATGTTTTGGATGAAATTTATTTGTGCTCTTCATTTGTTGAAGTTGGTTTTTTCATGGAAAAAAAATCATTTATAGCAAGTAATAAAAACTAAACTACCGTATTTCTATTAAGCGTAACATATATTGTAGTAGGTTTTATGTTTATAGGTATGCGAAAGAATAACCAGATTAATAACGGAGCAATAGTGTGAAAATTGTGAAAAAAATTGTTAAAATTGCACTTTTTTCCTATTAAATTGTACTACTAAAAGAAATAATTGCATTTTTTTTTACATGTTTCCTTAATATATAGGAGACAATAAAGACAATTTCTAAATTGTTACTAAGTTTACTTTTCATTTGTAATTTATTGTAATTAAAAGAGAAAAAATTCTATTCAGTAGTTTTTTAATGTATAAAATATAGTCTTTTTTATAAGCAAATGAAAAAATTACAACATTAAGAAAATTACCTAGAAAATTGAATATATTGTCGAAATTGTTTCTACTATATCTGCTTTTCCCATTTTGCTAAATGAAATAACTTTTAAAGATATGAAATGAAAAAAGGATTTTTAACTAAGAGGATTTTTAACGCAATAATAGGAGCCTTTTCAACGTACAAATACTAGGAATACTTTTAATATAATTATATTTTCAATCATTTCTGGTACATAAAACTAGATCTGCATTTTAATGTTTTTTTCTATTTACGTTATTTTTATTTCATTCTATGTTGAAACCTGAAAAGATTAGTTCTGTTATGTATTACTTTAAAAATAAATAAAATTTCACTTAACTGGCAATATTTTTATGAAGACAAAAATAACAAAATTTTTAAACACAACAACATTTTTTCGAATAAAATTGTTCTTCTTACATTGCTGAATTTAAAATTATTAACTTCATGGAAAGTCACGCTAAAATTAAGATTTTTTTTAAAAGAAAAGCAGCTATATTTAATTCGTTTTATTATAAATGTTTTAAGTTTTTTTCCTTTTTATTCTTAATAATAGAATGTTTTGAAAATATATATATTTTTTACTACAAATAAAACTATTTTATACAAACGGAGAAAAAAATTTAGTAATTTTAATGATCTGACTGCTTTTAAAAGTAAATTTTAAAAAAATTCGATCTTATCAATCAAAATATGAGACTTCTTCTTAAGTAAAGAAACTATCTATTTATTAGCTATAAGGCTGAATTTTTTTTGCCTACAATTTATATAATTTCTGCAGACATTCATTTTTGGAAGTAACATATTTATTTCCCAAACAATATCATTTGTAAACAATTTATCTCCCTTCGCAGTTGATAATTTTAAAGACAACATTATTTATTTTAATTATTCTTTTCAGACGATACATATATGCAGATAACTTTTCTGTGCCTTATTCAAAATTTTGATATATTTTATTTGTAATTCCTTGATTGAATAAATTTATTCATCATTCTGTTGAAAGTAACCACTATTTTTTTTTTAAAAAAAATATGTATCCATGATTTGCTAAACACATTTTTCTACTTTTGTAAACAACAATTTTTAGAATCTGTTCTATTTGACTATTTTTTTACACTACATTATTTATTTTACAAACGATAACTTTATATTCAAAATTATTAACTTTAATTTTTGTAGCCAATTACTTATTGAAAGTTGCTTAGTTAATTTCCAAACGATATCAACTGAAAACAATTTATCTCTCTTTGCAGACGATCAATTTGAAGATATTTTTTCCCCAGACGATAAATATAGTTAATTGTTTTCAAATATATTACTAGATTTTCTTTTACTATGATCTCTAATTCATGGATTGGAATCAATTTTTATTTATGGGATGCACGTCATTTTGACGTTACACAACGATAGGAAGATAATTCGCATAATTTAGACTCACCTTGTTGCTGTTTTCTCGTTGTTTTCTTTTCTTTCATCCACGGGTATTCCGGTACGGATACGCCGGAGTAGCCGTTAGGTCCACCGGCTGTAGGTTGTGTTGATACCGCGTGCTTCTCAGCTCCTGGTGATTCAGCGGCCGCCCCACCGCCCGACTGTTGCTGTTGTGTCGGGGGGCAAAGCGATTGCGGCGGCGGTGCGGGGGCCGTTGCCCCTCCGCCGTTGATTGATGATCCTCCGCCACGATGAAATGTTTCATTGATATGAGGCAGGGATGTCATGAACTCAGCCATGGACGGTTGACTGTTGATAAAACCGCTCTCCATGGCTGTACTACCTTCCATCCTAAGCACAAAAGAAAAAAAATGTGTATTTTTGCTTCTCTTATGTTCCTGGGTTTTGCACGTGGAGTCGACCCGCGGGCGCCCCACGGTTGTGGCACCACCGCGTTACCTGGTGACAGTGTGGCCTAGAGTGGGTTTTCCTCCAAGCCTAGCACAGACGTACAACTCTCCTTCCACGAGCATTTCGGGGCGCATTTTCCTCGATTGATAACGAAATCTGACCATTTCGGTTGCGTCACGTGATGACGAGGGAACCAATGGCTGCCTCTCGTCGCTTCCTCTCTCTAGACGCCAGCAGCGCCTTTGATCCCGCCGATTCCCTCCTCCTTTCTTTCATCTTCAGTTTTGTTTCTTTTCTTTTTTTTTCTTCTTCTCTCCTAAGCTCTTCTTGAAGAGGATAAGAGAGCCAGAGAGAGGATGGGGAAAAAAATTAAAAGGAAAAGTCTTTAATTATTTTCTCTGTCGCTCTTTTCAACTTTCTACACCTCTCTCTCCCGTTTAATTCGTTGCAACTTTTCTCAAAGCTAAAAAGGAGAATTCTTTCTGAACTGCATCTAATTATTTAACAGATTGTTTACTATCTACTCCCCCGATGATTCGCCCCGGAGAAAAATTCTTCTTGACGAAAAGCTTCCATTTTTGCAAGCGCCACCCGCATATTATAATTAATATCTTAAATTAAGACGTTTTCAAACAGTTTACGCGAATTGTGAAAAATCTTATTTTCCTGGGAATGTTTAAGGCATTCATCAGACTTGAGTGTAACATTTCACTGGGAAGAACTAAAAAAAGATAGTTTCTAACATTTTGAATGCGTTTGCAACAGTTCTACTACGTACGAATGGCAAAACAAATGCAGAGCAAAAAGTTAATAAATGAATAATATTTTACTTTCACTTATTTAAAATAATAAAAACAATTATGGTTTTCCAGTCGTGAATTGAGGAAAACCTTATTATCTTAGAATTGCTTGGAGCATTTATCAAGTTAGTTTTGATTGATAAGTTTTGAGCACTTAAATGTATTTGCAGCATTTCTACTGAATGCTAAAATAAATGAGAAAAGAAATTCAGTGATAGTAATACAATAATAAATAATTTAGATTCCTTTTTTTAGAATAATATAAATGGGTTAAATGTTTGAATTAAGATAAATGGAATTATTTTCATTTGTTTCGTATGCTATTTCAATGCTTTTACTTTAATTTAAGACAGCTTCTTATAATTATATGAAAATTATAGTGCAAGAACACTTCATTATTTCAAAATAAAAATAATGAAAGTGCTTAAAGCGATAAAATTTAAGAGAATAACTATTATTTTTGAATATTTTTTCCCGTTAAGGAACTATGCTAAAAAATCTATTAATTTGTTTTTGAAATAAAAATCTTTTTAAAAATTTTAATTAAAAATTGTCGTTGTTTATATTGTGTTTTATTTTAATGGATTTCAATAATGGCGGCAAATTCTCCGATAGAGAGAAATATTCTTTTGCCTCCATTCCATCTTGCATTTATTGCATCTGAAAATTTCAAGCATACTAATGTATTTTGCTTCCTCTTCAGCAATATTCTAGGGAATATTCTGCATAAACTAGTCACTATCTACCTAAAGTGATTTATTGTTGGAAAATAACTAAAAAGAATGGTGTAAAAAGCAATGTTTCCTTTTTACAAACTATCTTTCGTTAAGCCACCTAATTATTCGGAATAATTCTAAAACCTATGCTCTGTAACTATTATATTTATTTTATTTTATCCGTCGTTGAATAGCAGACCCAGTTTTGGGTTTACGACTACTAATGTTCAACTCCGTAGTCTTGTAATTTTGAACCAATCCTGAAGATAATGAAACTCCTGGATCAGTACCCCCAGAGGCATTGATTTGTTATGGGAACATAGAAGACTTTGTGACTCGACAGATTTAACGTGCATCACTCATCATTCACAACACGGGAAGTCTTCGGCGGGCTGGGATCGAACCCAAAAACTCTTGGACATGGTCCTAGTGCCCCACCAACCACGCTATCCCGGGCTATGCTCGATTCCTAATTGTACATAGATAGTCGTACTATTCCACCTTTCTAGTCGTACTATTACCACCCAACCTTTTCTAGATTAGCACCCATTTTGCAAGTCAATCAATTTTAAACACCCTTTAAATAAAGAGTAATGAAATAAATAATTAATAAAATATTTTTTTCTCGTGCTGCGCTTTATTCATGTTGTTTCATGCTTTGTTCAAACGAAGCACAAAGTATACATTTTCTGCATTTGTATCCAAATATTGATTTGTTTAATATGGTTTTTCATTCCAAAGGTTTGAACTAGTATTGCATGTTTGTACAACATATCGTACGTGGGCGATTCATTTCGCGAAAAACGGACCAAAAATGCTAATCATAAGTTTTTACTAATTACGTTGATCTGTTTTGCCAGCATAAATGATTTAAAGTTTAGACAAAGCCATAAAGTTTCCAAAGCTCTAAAGATGTCGTCAAAATATCAAAATATAAACAAAATATTGTTATATTACATCCCACTGCGTAATAGTTTTCATAATTCGTTTCGTTTTCATCCAGCGTAATCGTTCGTAATTGTTTTCTTCCTGCATAATTTGTTTACATTTGCCATAATTTGTTTGCATCTGTAGTAATTTGCTGTATTTTGACATTTTGGTCTTTTTTTTCCAGCATTTGAAACTTCATGATTTACTCTGAGTTTACCTGAACTTAATTTTTTTTTATACTTTAAATTTCAAATGACTTAATTAAAAATAGTAAATAGAATAATAGTAAAAGAATTATAGTAAAAGAATTTATTATGAAGGGTCTCACCAGCCACATGCCGTCCTTTTAAAAAATAAAATAAAATTAACCAAAAAAAATATGTCAGTTCTCAACAGATTTCACCAATATTCGATACTTGTAGAGCAACAACATCATAACTTCCACTATGTCTCAACAAAAAAAAAAATATTTCGCCAAAAAAATATCCAGGAAAAAAAAATTGCGTAAAAAGCGTAAAACTACGGCGTGTTTTATTCCAGAACGGAGAAAGAACGCGTATGTCAGAACTCCGATTCGCGCAAAAATGGGCTAGGAAGAAGATTTTGCGGCGTGATTCCTATCCAAAGGGGGTGCTCGTGGATAAAATTAATGACTGTTCGCCTATCATCATTCTTTCTAAGAGTGAAAGCTGAAAGACTCAGTAGACAGCCCTGCAGTCCGTCTTTCACACTGTTTGGCTCTTTCCTTCACTTATCGTTTTACCAACTCTATGAAACAGTCCTACCTCAGAATTGTTGCGCTTTTTTTCTACGTTTTTTGGCAGACATCATCAAAATGGTTCTTTTTTTATTATTATTATTCTATTTTCTCTCCATCGTTTGCAATAGGCGTTATATTATTCTTTTAACCGCCGTGTAAACGTTTTTGAAGACTCAACGCATCCTCTTGTCAGACTGTGGAAAAATTATGTTCCTAGAATTTTTTTTTCTTTGTGCAACAAGTATGTGTTGAACAAATCCCCCTAAGTAAAGATCTTTTTTCCTCCCATGTTTATCGCATGGTCATGACAAAAAAAATATTTTGAAATATATCAATGCTTAAAGTTTTTTCCCATTCTGTTGTGCTGTTAAAAATTTTTGACCATATTGTTTTAACCAGACTATCTTACTGATAAAACTAATTACACAATACTATGGTTCAAATTGAACGAAATAATGGCCCGAATTAACTCCCTATTAAGGGGTAGCTATACGAAGAATTCTTCATGGTAAATTCTTTTTTATCTACATAAATAATTTAATGTTTAGAGGATAGGGAGTTCAAGTTGACGTACGCTGAAAAGAAGTATGGTCAAAAATACCAGAATGGTAAGATTTACCGTATTTCAGATTCAAAGGGAACATCAAAAATCTCAGTAATTTTAATGAAGCGCTTTGGTAATGATTTAGGTTAAATTAACCATAAAATATCGTGTTATAATTTGTGAAATGAAGGCCGAAACAAGTTGTGCAAAATATGATATTGATGTAACTTTAGCTACACCTGCTTAACTAAATAACATATCTGCCCAAAATGCAAGTCAATATTGAAAATAAATAAAAATAAAACAGCAAAAAAAGACTATGGAAATGCTGGTTTTCTGCAATTAGCAGTTCGCATACAGAAAATTGAATTGTTATCATTTAAATATCTAAACAAATACAATCATTAAACCATTTAGCAGCAGTAAACCACGCAAAATAATTTCTTACTTATTTTTAACCTTATCTGCCTAACAAAATAATATGTTTATAGAAACATCAGAAACTTTGGACATTGTTGCTTTTTTTTTCAGAAAACAATTCTTGCCAATTACGTTGATTTGTTTCTCTGATTTGCAGTTTAGAAAAAAGTAACTTTGGTTAAACCTAGATTAAGCCATAAAGCTTCAAATGCTCTAAAAATGTTTTCAAATTGTATTTTAAAGTGTTCTGAAAATGCTTTTTCATCATTCAGCTTTTCTGCAATTATCAATTTTCATACAGACAATTGAATCATTATTATCAATTAAACCTAATAATAAAAAATACGATCACTGGACCATTTAGCAGCTGTAAGACTTTGGGCGTTGTTGCTTTCTTGCAAAAACAGCATCCAATTCTTACTAAATACGTTCATCAGCAGAAAGCAATTCTTAAACAGATCAGTCAATCATGATAATTTATCAAACTTCGGAAAAGGAGCACCATTCTCGTAATAAACAGCTAATTTTGCTACTGCTACTTTGTTTTAGCCACATCTGATAATCAAAATTATATTTCACCCCAAACATCGAAATTCAGAACCTTTAGACATATTGAATATCTGAAGTAAGCAGTTTTATATTGATCAATGAATCGTTATTATCTACCAATGAATCATTATTATCTATCAATGAATCGTTATTATCTATCAAATCTCTAAATAGGTACAGCCATATATGGATGTAATAAGCACTATGATTTTTTGCCATGACACTGTTTGTTACTTAGTTTTAACCACATTGAGTTAGTTATCTCGCCCAGCATCACACGCACATATCCCCCCAAAACGTCACACATGTGTCACGATCGTCACTGTCCCAGATGTCTCACCCGCTGAGTCCATCAAAATGGGTGCCTGTCACCCCCGTAGAGTGCACCACTCACGCAGAAGTGAAATGTTCCGGTTTCAGAATATTTTTTGGGTGGAGGTCTGCGAAGTTCACAAAGATGGTTCAGCCATCCTCTTGTTTGAGCTGTCACCTTCTTGATGTGTAGATAAATACACTTTC